AACCCTAACCCTAACCCTAACCCTAACCCTAACCCTAACCCTAACCCTAACCCTAACCCTAACCCTAACCCTAACCCTAACCCTAACCCTAACCCTAACCCTAACCCTAACCCTAACCCTAACCCTAACCCTAACCCTAACCCTAACCCTAACCCTAACCCTAACCCTAACCCTAACCCTAACCCTAACCCTAACCCTAACCCTAACCCTAACCCTAACCCTAACCCCAACCCTAACCCTAACCCTAACCCTAACCCTAACCCTAACCCTAACCCTAACCCTAACCCTAACCCTAACCCTAACCCTAACCCCAACCCTAACCCTAATTCTAACCCTAACCCTAACCCTAACCCTAACCCTAACCCTAACCCTAACCCTAACCCTAACCCTAACCCTAACCCTAACCCTAACCCTAACCCTAACCCTAACCCTAACCCTAACCCTAACCCTAACCCTAACCCTAACCCTAACCCTAACCCTAACCCTAACCCTAACCCTAACCCTAACCCTAACCCTAACCCTAACCCTAACCCTAACCCTAACCCTAACCCTAACCCTAACCCTAACCCTAACCCTAACCCTAACCCTAACCCTAACCCTAACCCTAACCCTAACCCTAACCCTAACCCTAACCCTAACCCTAACCCTAACCCTAACCCTAACCCTAACCCTAACCCTAACCCTAACCCTAACCCTAACCCTAACCCTAACCCTAACCCTAACCCTAACCCTAACCCTAACCCTAACCCTAACCCTAACCCTAACCCTAACCCTAACCCTAACCCTAACCCTAACCCTAACCCTAACCCTAACCCTAACCCTAACCCTAACCCTAACCCTAACCCTAGCCCGAACTAACCCAAACCCTAACCCTAACCCTAACCCTAACCCTAACCCTAACCCTAACCCTAAGTGGATCCTAATCTGAGACTTCGCTGCCGCTCCTGCCTGTGGACTGAGCTGCCGCTCTTGTGCTGTTGTCTGCGATACTGCCGCTGCTGCTACTCTTAACCTGCTGAGCCGTTTTGCTGCTGGCCATCCGGCTTACGAGGGGCTGGTAACACGGCTCGTAATTGGGCAGGCGCAGCAGCGCACTTTTGATTCGTGTTCGTTGTGTGTTTTGTTGCTTTGAATGGGTTCGAAGAGGCTATCCCTTTCTTCAAACCCCATTTTGCTGTGCCGGGTCGTATCCAGGCTAGTTACAAGGCTAGTTTACCAGCGTCGAGCTCGTAGGTCCTACGAGGTCGGATCTACGAGCTCGAGGGCTTGTAACTAGCCCCGTTACCATATGCTCGTAGTTTTGCTGTGTAGAAGCGCAAGATCCGATCCTAACATTTAGGATCGGATCACAGTGTAGCTTTCGGGGGTCGGAGAACCGCCGTAAGAAACGGTCGGCTCCCCAGTGTGGCGGTCGCCCCTCGCCTCTTCGCTTCTGCCGCCGCGTGCGCGCCCAAGGGGTTGCGAGGGGCCAATCCGCGCTAGGGGATTGCAGGTCTGCCATTGCCTCGAATTAGGATCGAATGAAGAGACGAAGCTCGCGCAACTCAGTCAAGCTCCAAAATACACTAGGCTGCCGCCTCACCTCCTGCTGGGCGCTCTTCTACTTCGCTGCCGCTCCCGTGGACTGAGCTGCCGCTCTTGTGCTCGCTTTCGCCGCTCTGGCGGGTTTCGGAGGGGGGGGGGATATGACGGAAAACGGCGGGCGCATTTGGGCACATGACTGGGAGAACTCTGTGGTGGACCCGCTGGGCGAAAGGTTCTCGCAGACCGTTGCTTCCTCACAATGTCGTTGAGCGGAGCGAGTGCGAGCGCGGCGGCCAAGCAGCGGCACCAGGAGCAGCGGCGAGCTGACACGAGCGCGCTCGCTGATGCGGCGAGGGGGCAGAGGCAGATGCCCGAGCTGCCGCCGTACGTGCCAGAATTTGACCTCGCGTTCATGTCTCAGATGCTGGGCGTTGGAGCCGTCCGGTCGGAGCCAGAAGACCCAGCCACTGGCGACGACGAGACGATCATGCAGGAGGCCGCCGTCGACGTTGCCCTCCAGCTTTTGTGTTTTGACGGATGGCGAGGGGCTGCAGGCGCTGCTCGCATCTGATGAACCGAGCGCAGATAGGGTTGCGCTGGAGGGTGCCGACAACGCGCTTGCAAACTCGGGTGCGAGGGTGGATCAGCTTTACGAACTGGTCAGGGCGAGCGAGGGAGGAGCGGCGGTGCGCCGCATGGGCGAGGCGCCGAAGGCGCCCACTATGAAAACGCATTCGGCCGTTGCTGTCGCGTTCCGTGCGTTTAGATCGCGATGTTTTTCGAGGTCAGACGGCAGCGAGCGACTTTTGCCTGCAGCCGTAACTCGGCCTCTGGCCGCCGACAGCGCCTAACTCGGGGTCTGGGGCAGAGCCCCAGCCTGGGGTCTGGGGCTGGCAGCCCCAGCGGGGTGCGGGGCAGAGCCCCGCGCGAAGAAAATTTTGAATTTATAGCACCAAAAACCGACCAAAAAGAGGGCTGTGAGCTGCTGTCCAAGAGCCCCCAGACAAGAGCGCAATATACAAATCTCGTCCGTCAGATCTGTGTTTTTCTCGTTGTTTTGTCGCTCGCTCCGCTCGCCACCTCACGCTCGGCCGTCCCGCCATGGCCAGTACCCCGCGTCTCAGTGAGACGCGTGGTACCATCCAACTCCGGTCGATGGGCTCGAATGCGCTCAGCCTCAGGAGGGACAAAACCACGCGAATTCTGCACGCCTCGCTGCGCCGCTGGCTTGACTGAATCAGGCAGCAGCAGGCTGCTGCTGCTGCCACAGCAGCAGCCTGCTGCGGCCCCATTACGCAAGTTAATGACTAGCAGCACTGCCGGGGGCAACGAGCCGCCAGAGCCGGTGTGCGGCTGTGCACTGCCACCTGCCCGCGGCTACGCACAATGTGCGCTCGCATTGGATGCCCTGCTGATGGACCTGCGTCGCCTAGCTGCACGAGAGCAATGCCGTAGGCGGCGGCCGTAGCATACACTGCGAGCACACTCGGTGCAGCTGCGAGGTGCAGCAAGAGCACGTCGTTCCTGCCTCTGATGCCACTCTCGCGGCTCGTTGTACTGACGTAGCGCGTCACTCGCGCATGCTCTCCAGGAGCTATGGCGGGCGCGTGTGTGGGGCTGTAGCCTGTGTTTGGCCGGTCCTGAACACCGTTTACTATCAGTACCATGCCTGGGCCACAAGAATCGCACACGGGGAGCGGCTCAGGGGCCCAGTAAGCCGCGGAATCGCCAAATGTCACAACCCATGCCACCCAGGGCTGGACCTAGTCTTTCAGTATTCAGACAAGGGGCGGCCCCACACCCCACCTTCCCCACCTCAGAGGCGACGGGCGGGCGCCCAGCCCCGCAGATCCAGAGATTAAAGCGGCCCGCGAGCGAGAAATGACAAGACGTACACTCGCCTCACACGCCAATCTCCCTGCGAATGTCCACTAGCCGAGCGAGCGCGAGCCGCAACCGCTCAGCCGTCCCGTCCGCCTCGATCACCTCCTGGTAGGGCGACCCGCCGTACGCGTTCACGCCCACCGTCTGGTTGCCGATGATTGCCCAGATCGCCCAGCTCAGCCGCTCCGCCCTCCGCCGGGCCGGGTATGCCGCGTCGACGGGCACGTAGCTCAGCTCCTCCTCCCCCTTCGCCCTCAGCCTGTATTCGAGCGAGAGCCGCGCGGCGGACACCCCCAGCCGGAAGCTGTCTGGCCAGCCGGCCTCGGGCGCGGGCGGCATCAGCCCGAGCAGCTGCGACGGGACGGGAACCGGACCTCTCTGCCCCTCGATGTCCCGGAGCAGGCCGTCGAGCTCTGTCCACACTCTTTCCTCGAGCCCCTCGAGCATCTCGGCACCGATATCAGCTGCGGCCTCCTCCCCGCCCGCCGCCACCCGCTCGGCCGCCTCGACGGCACCGTCCAGCAAGCGCAGCGCGGCGCTGCCCTCGTAGAGCGGGCCTCCCGACCCGTCCAGCGACGAGAGGGTGCCTCGAATCGCCTCCTCGACGGCCGGCGCCGCCGCGGCAATCACGGCCGCCGCGGCGCTCACGTTGAGCTGGTTGAGCGGCGCGAGGTGTCCGCCGGCGTCCACCGACACCTTGACCGCCTCGTACGGCAGGTGCGCCTCCAGTTCCGCCGCCGCCGCAGCAGCCACCAAGCGGCGCTTGACTGCACGAGCGGGCGCCGCCACCGCCGCCGTCCCCAGCACTCGCTCACTCGCTAACGCACCCGCCAGGAGCGCCTCGCAGTCGGGCAAGAGCTGCACGTCGCCGCGAGAGTACGGCAGCATCTGCGTCGGCCGCAGCACGACGCCACGCCCCAGGCCCTGCACGACCAGCGTCAGGGTGCTGTCCGCGTTCCGCTGCCCGACCGCCACCCTGCAGAGTGTGCCCATCAGCGAGGCCTTTGAGCCCGGCTCCAGCTCGTAGCCGGGCTCGCCGAGCGACTCTGCACCGCCTGGCATCAGGACGTGCAAGTAGTAGTGCGGACCCGGCTCAGAGAGCAGGCGGTTGAACATGAGCGTGTACTGCGGCTGCCAGACGCTCATCGCGACCTGGTGGCCGGGCAGTAGGCACCAAGAGTACCGACACAACGGAAGATCGAGGAGCAGGCCGAGCTTCTGAGCGGCCACCTTCTCTGCCGCTGCCTCGACCGCCTCCTCGGCAGGGACGTCCTCGGCGTCTGGTGCGTTGAAGCGAGCACGCAAAGAGGCGACCTGCTTGTTCCGCTGCTCGTCGTTGCCGCCAGAGAGGTCGCCGCCGCCGCCTGCTGCAGTGCCGGCCGCACCGCCACCGACCATGCGCGGCGAAGGCGCACGGCCGAGGCGCAGGGCTGTGGCGGCGCCCAGCAAGAGCAGCATGGTCGACCGCTGAGAGCGAGGTGCGAGCCGGCGCGCCGCAAGTGCAGCGAACCGAGCAGCCAACCTGTCGGCGGAAAGCCACTGCAAGAGAAACCGCGGATCGGACTGCCACTGCTGTAAGGGGAACAACTAGAGATCCAACAAAGGGGGACAACTCGCACCGAGACAGGACACCGAGGGCAAAAGAAAACCCACAGGGCTAACACAAGCAGTCTCGGACGCAAGTATCAGCACAAGAATCAGAACGTATTAAAAGCACCTAAAGGAGCAAGGCATACCGGTGTGAACAAGTCTCCACCGACACAACCGAAACCTTACGGCATTGATGTTTTCTTTTTTCAGCGTTCTTTCTGTTTTTGCTATGATTGAAGAGCGGCCTACGGTGGCTTCACGAAGTCACACCGCTCTGCTCTCCGGCGGTTCTGTGCTCCCCCGCGGCTCCGCTCTCGCCGCCAACGCGAACGGGTCCACTCCTCGCCGCAGGCTGGACAGCAGCTCCGCCGAGAGCGTGTCCCAGGACAGGAAGCCTGGCGCGGCGAGCGCAGCGCCACTCTCCGTCGAGTAGGCCTCGTGCCACGCCCGCGAGCGGCGGAGGTCGGCGGCGAGCGCTGCCACCGCGCGCGAGGCTATCTCGAGCGCGAGAGCGGTGTGGCCGTACTTTGCGAGGCCGTAGCACGCGAGCGCATTTGCGTTGAGCCACATGGGCCCCCGCCAGTTTGAGTATGGCACGATGGTGTCCGCGTTCGAGTAGCGCGGGTCCGAGGAGCTCGCCGAGCGCAGCCCGACCGCCGACAGCATGTCGGGGCCGGCGAGGCTGGCAGCGATCGCGTCGGCCTGCGACGCGTTCACCGCGCCCGCCCACAGAGGCAGCGCCATGACGTACGTGCGCGCCTCGATCCACTCGCGGCTGCTCGTGTTCCAGGCGGCGTGGTGGCCGAGGTCCTGCCGCCAGAGCCGCGCGTGCAGCGTCGCGGTCAGGTTGGCGGCGGCCGCGCGGTGAGCCGCTGCTGCGGTGCGGTGCGCGCCGCCCCAGTGCTCGCGAAAGAGGGCGGCGGCCGTGTGCTCACGGATCAGCAGCGCCATCACGTCCGCCGAGCCGAGCGTGAGCGCCTGCGAGTCGCTCCAGCAGTTCGAGCGCGCAGAGGGGCAGCGCGAGAGGACGCCGTTGTCCGCGCCGCTCTCGAGCTGGTCGTGCCACACGCGCAGCCCCGTCGCCGGGTCGCGCCGAGGCGGGCGGTCCCAAAAGGCGAGGAGCGCCGCCATCGCCGGCGCGTGGCGCTCAAAGCGGCCCGGGTCGCCGCCCGGCGCCGCGGAAGCGAGCCAGGCGCCCTGAATCAGGACTGGCTTTGCATGCACGAGCGCGTTGCGGGCGGACGGGTCGGAGGAGCAGACGGTCGGCAGACTTGCGGTGAGGCAGCCCGTGACGCTGCCGGTGCTCCGGTTGACGGCGGCGAAGAAGTTGGCCATCGATCCCTCCAGGTACGGGCGCGAGCCGTGCGCGAGCGTCGCCACGCCAAGGAACACGGCATCCCAGTCCCACAACTGCGAATACGGGCCAGAGGGAACGAGGTACGGGAAGCGGAGTTCACCCGACGGTTCGCGCCACGTCTCGTGGGCGCGTGCGGCCGTGTGTGCAGCGCAGAGCTCCGCGTCGTCCGTCAGGTTGAACCGGGCGATGTCCCTCCCGCGGAGGACTGTGCCGTGCGCGCCCGTGGACCCGACAGCGACGACGTCCGCCCGGAAGGTCGCGCCGGGCTCGTACGCGAGCTGCGCCACCGCGGAAGCCACCGAGGACTCGTCCGACGCCCATCCCACACTCACGTGCGCGCGGAACTGATCGAAGACGTTTGGGCTACCGAACCGGCGGACGTCGGCAATCTTTTCGGAGCGCGCCGGCTCGGGCAGCGCATAGACCCACTCCGGCACGCTCTGGTTGGGCGCGGCGAGGCGGTGCGTCGCGTTGACCACGGCGTCCGAGGCGACGCGCGCGCAGGGTGCGCTGACGTTGAGCATCGCGAATTTTCCCGCGGCGTAGGCTCGGCCGAGCGTGACGCGGCAGCGCTGAGTCGCCAGCTGCACGACGGCGGAGCGGAGGGCGCTGACCAGCGCGTCGCTGCGACACTGCCACTCGGTAAGGTATAGAGTGATGTGTGGAGTATGCTTGGTCCCAAAGTCGATCTCGTTGTTCAGCAGCCGCAGCTTCTGATTGACCGCGAGCGCCGCGGCCTTGGCGGCGCCGAGCAGAGGCAGGTGCACGTCCGCTGTGAAGGGAGCGCAGAGGCCGAGCGATAGCGCCGCGAGGAGCGCCATATGCGCTTGCACAGACTAGCTTGCACAGCTGTGGCGCGCAGAACGAATTTGGAGAGGGGACGCGCCCGCAGGGAAGGTAGTGCTCCGACTCGAGCGCTGCCGTACGCCCCCCCCTCGGAGACCGGTGTTACCAGGTACCCCATGTATCGGAGTTATGGCACACTTAAGAGCTGTGAACGTGAAGAGAGTGGTACCAGAACTGCGGGTCGTTGCGGCACGCATGGGGGGCCTCCCGGACGTATGATCCTAGCCCAATACGTCCCACGGAGCACATTTCGATTTTTGACAGAATTAAATGCACTGCCCCCGCACGGTACTAATAGTCGTAGTTTTGGCACCGCTGCCCTTCACCGCACCACACCGCCGCTTGACAGCCCGGGATTAGCCTAGCAGCGAGTGGGCATCGCCTGCCGGTCGGCTGGGCACGAGCCAAGCACTTGGGCGGCCGTCAGGTGCTTGGCGGGTGCGGCTGGGAGCGGCTTTGGAATCAGGACCCCTCAGAATGGGGTCTACGAAGAGGGGGTGGCTTTGGTTGGTCACGATCGGGACGGATGACACGTCTGATGCAGACATGCGGTCACCTCGATTCCTGTTTGTTGAATGCTGATCCCCTCTTCAATGCCAGTGCAGGAGTGATAACCCATCGAGGTGGGAGCCGCCTGCGGCATACTGAATCCTCCACCAGTGGCGCAAGCCCGCTCGTCCCGACGCTCGAGCGACCGACCGGGTGTTCGGCAGGCGGTCCGAACACGGTCGGAAAAAAAGGTCTGACGAGAACATGATCCGACCGCGTTCGACCACGTGTTCGAGTCCTACTCCGACCCTGTTCCGACCGTGATCCGACTGTTTTCCCCCGTAACTTTCTTTCGAGTGCTGTCGGTCCGTGATCTTTTTTCTTGCGCTGCGACACAATGCTCGCAAAGGTGGTCGGCGGCGGTTTTTGGCCTCGCGCCGCGCGTTTGCCCACGCGTGCGCTCGCCGGCGCGCCCGGCGCGCTGCCGCACGCGTCGCGGCTACCGGTGCCCTCGCTGCTCCCGGCGGCCGCCGGCGCCCTCTTGCGGCAGCCCGCGCGCGGGCTTCTCTGCCTCAACACCCGGCTTGGGCGGGGGCGGGCGCACCGGTGGGCGATGCTGCGGAACCTCGTCAAGTCCCTCATCGAGCACGAGCGGATCAAGACGACGCACGCGCGCGCGCGCGAGCTGCGGCGAGTCGCCGATCGCGTGATCAACTTTGGCAAGCAGGGCACGGCGCACGCGCGGGTGCAGGCGGGCAAGTATGTCTCCACCCGGCCGGAGCTGGTCAAGCTCTTCACGATCCTCGCGGAGCGATACAAGGACCGGCCCGGCGGCTACACGCGCGTGCTCAAGACGTACCCCCGCATCGGCGACTCCTCGCCGATGTCCTTTGTGGAGCTCGTGGACAGGCCCCTGCACACGCTGCGGACTCCTCCCACGCTGGCCGAGCAGCCGCAGTCGGCGTACCCCGGCCGAGGCGGGCGCAAATGGCGCGCGCACAAGCGCGACATGCGCAGCGAGTGGCACAAGCAGGGGACACCGCGCAACACAGTCGACGCGCGTCGATATGGCTACGAGCCCGGCGCCGACCCGTCTTGACGCAATTAGTCTGATAGATCATAACCATGTCGGCCTTGCAAGCCAGGACGTGTGCTATTGCTCCCACCCCCGCTTCTGTCTTTTCCTCTTGTGCATTCGCTCATTCGCTTGCGAAAATATTGAGATCAGGCCGCGCCGCTCAACGTGTGTCAACCCCGAGGTCAACCCCGCCCCCCCTCGCCCCTGCGCGCCCCGCGCAGGCGCACAGTCCAGTGAGCCGGAACGCGCTCACGAAAGACGAGCGCCTCACCTCCTCCCCGCCTAGCTCCGACTGCCTCCAGAGAGAGAGCGCACACACGCAGAAAGCCGAGCCCTTGGAGTTGGACCGAGAGGCGACGGGGGCCTGCGTGTGGCGTGCGCGACCGCAGGGGGCACTCACTCTCGCTCCGCTCTCTCTCTGGTGGACTGGTGCAATCGCATGGGAGACAAGACGCGTACAGACCACGGTACCTACGTATTATTGCTCCTCCACCTTCCTCTCCACTTACCGTGGATCATGCACCCGCAATATACACACATGCACGGCCACCGCCGGCACATGCTGGCGATACCGCTCGATCTTGAGCGACGTGGGGTCGCCCGCGGCGCAGAGCTCGCGCCGGCCATCGGGAAGCCTTCCCAGCCGCTCGACTCGCAGCCTGAGGCCCGTGGAGACGTGCTCCAGAAGGAGCGGGTCGCCGAGCTGCACGCGCTGCCCCTCTGCGTGGATGCGGAGCCGTGGCGTGATGCGAAGCCACGCGGCCTCGCCCGGCTCCGCCTCGAGCGTCACGCGGCGCGCATCCTTGGAGACGTGTGCCGAGCGCCGCGTGACGGCCAGCAGCGCGCCGCTGTACGCATTGCGCAGCTGGATGACCTGCCCGTACCTCACCTCGCGGCCGGCAGTCCGCTCGAAGGCGGCGGCATTCGCCTCGCGCTCCCTCTCTCGGTCTTCGAAGAGGCGTCTGTGCGCAGGGTCGGCGGCCAGCTCGAGCGCCGACCGGCCGACCGACTCGACCAGCGCCCGGATCTGCTTGGCAGCAGCGTAGTTGTGCTGCTGGCGCACCTCAAAGACGCATTCGCTCGCAAAGCGCGCAGAGGGCGCGGCGCCCTCGCAAGCGCCCATCTGCTCACTCCCCGGGCCGGCGACGCCGAGCAGCGCGCCTTCGCCCTCGCCCTCGCTGAGGTAGATGCGGTCGCCGACGTGCAGCGTGGCCATCGGCCCGCGTTGCCAATTTTTTCGATCTGGCAGTCCACACTGGAACCATCGGCGGGCGGATGGGGACGTTGGCCCGCTGATTTCTGTGTTTATTAGTGCCACGCGCCAGTCCCGTGCCTTGGCAAGGCAAGACACAGGTAGTGTTGTGCGACGAGAAAAATGTGGCGTACGCAAAAGAAGAAAAACGCTGAAAATTCTTTTGCGCGGCGGCGGCCTCGCGCGCCCTCGAACCGCTTTTGGCTCCCGCTGGGCAAAGCGAGGCACCCATGTCTGCTCCGCCGCCGCCGCTGCCTCCGCTCGCGCCGCCCTCCTCCTCGGCCAGCGTCGCGCCGGCGCTCAAGGCGGCCAACTACCTCCTGCTGTTCGTCCTGATCCTGTGCCTGACTTCGGCGATCGACCTGGACGTGCTGCGCAGGGACTGGCGCCGGATCCCGCGAGGCGTGCTGTGCGCGATGCTCTGCCAGTTTGTCCTCCTCCCGCTGCTCGGCTTCTGCTCGGTGCTGGCCTTCCGTTTGAGGCTCGAGACGGTGGAGGGGACCATGCTGCTCGTCATCACCTCCTCGCCGGGGGGCTCGTACAGCAACTGGTGGTGCAGCCTCTTCAACGCCGACCTGCCGCTCTCCATCGCCTCGACCGCCGCCTCGACCCTGGCGGCCGCCGCCGTGCTGCCGCTCAACCTCGCAATCTACCTCTCCTTGACCTACGGTGGCTCGCTGCTGGGCGAGCTGCCGTGGGCGCAGCTCCTCACCTCGGTCGCCATAATCGTGAGCGGCGTCTGCGCCGGCCTGCTCGCCTCGCTCTGGATCTCGCGCAAGCGGCGCGAGCGCGCCCCAAAGCTGCGCGAGCGGCTCAGCCTGCTCGGCAACGCGTGCGGGCTCGCGCTCATCGTCATCGGCGTCAGCTTCTCCTCGTCGAGCAGCGCGCCGCCCTGGAGCCGGCCCGGCGCCGTCTACGCCTCCCTCGCGCTGCCCGCCCTCCTCGCCGTGCCCCTCTCCGCCGCCGTCGCCTCCCTCCCCGCGGCGGGGCTGGTGCCGCCCGAGCGAGTCGCCGTCGTCGTCGAGTGCCTCTTCCAAAACATCGGCGCCGAGCCGCCCAGCCCTCCCCCCAACCGCCCCGCCCACCATTTGCCAACCCCCCCCACCACCCCACCACCCCCCCCCACCCCCCTCCGGCGGCTCTCGCCTCGGCCCAGCCCCCCGCCGGCTCTCGGCTTCACAGGCGTCGCATCCGCCCTCGCCATCTCCGCCTACCGTGAGCCAGAGGCGGGCCGCGCCGCAGCGATGCCGGCGCGCGGCCTCCCGCAACCCGCACCCCTGCCCGCCCCTCGGCCGCCCCCGACTGTTCCGCGCGGCGGCAGGTGATCTACGGCTTCATGCAGTCGATGATCGTCCTCCCCGTCCTGCTCGTCTCGTGGAAGGCGGGCTGGACGCACGCGCCCCCCTCGGCGCCCCTGCTCCGCGTCCTCCTCGAGTCGTGGCAGCCAACCTACCTCGACATGCAGCAGGAGCAGCAGCAGCAGCAGACCGACAGCAAGCCACAGACCGCCACCGAACTGTCGTCCACCGGCAGCGTCGGCGCCGTCTCGCCGGCGCAGGCAGCCGGGGCAGCTTGCGGTGCCAGCGGCCAAAGAGGCACCGACACCGACGAGGGCGGCGCCGGGAGCAGCCCGGCTTGCGAGCCGGATCTGCGGCCCGGCGGCTTGCGGTGAGGAGCTCAGAGAGATGGTGGGGGTGGACGCCTGCATATGTGAGTTGCGAGTCGATGCACGTGTGGAGAGAGAGGAAGGCGATACAGGAGAGCCCGTGGGGGAGCCATGTGGGGACATGCACATTGCGCTTATTTGTACGTGCGCGCGCTGAGTACTCGAGGGATTCCTCTCTTTACTAGAATTGTGGTAGGGGCGAGCTCTTGCGTGTTAGAGACTAGAGGAGTAGTTCGCGGCTCTTCGGGAGGGTGCACTTCGGGATCACTTGGAGACTCTCCACCACCTATACCCCCATGCACGATGCAGCACCACCCTCTCGGTTCCCAGACCATCGCCCATCTCGCGGCGCCCGGCGGCCCACAGCGCCACAGGGTGCACGTGAGGGGGATCTATCTTCTATGCGCTAGCAGTCGCGGCCACCCTTGGTCGCCGCCTCTTCTTCTTCGCAGTAAACGAGGGATAATAAATAAATAGAGCAGTCATCTCCACAGGAGCGAGATGGGGGCAACGCACGAACACAGAGGCACAGTGCGCACCCCGCCCCGCTCACAGGGCGTGCATCACAGGCGTGGACTATGCGACTCCAAACGAGGGATGTAAGGAGGACAACCCCCAGCGAGCCCCCTCCAACCCACCCGCGCTAGGTCGCGGGTTTGACGCATGGGGTCACTCCCGCGAAACTCTCGTGAACTAGCCGGGGCAGTCGGAGAAGGGGCAACTCACGGTCGGCCGCCAGAAAACACGCCTGCGTGGATCGCGTCACACCAATCCTCGCTACCCAACGCGGCCAAAGGATATCCACCTAGTCCTACCGGTAGAAAGAAAGAAAGAAAGAAAACAGACAACCCAAGGGAGGGATGGGAGGACGGCACCGGTAGAGAACCAGGAGACACTTTGGGCGCGATTTCTTCCGATCGCCCAAGCCCGCCTCGCTGCTTTTCAGCAGCCATCTCTCCCAGCCGCTCGACGGCATGAGGCGCCTCCTCTGTGCGGCGGCATCGCTTCTCCTGCCCGCCCTGGTATTCCTCGGCTCCGCAATGTCGAGGCTGGGCGACGGCTCGCACGCAGCTGCAAGCGGCCGCTCGGTGCACGAGCACGCGACTGTGCGCTTTGGTGGCAGCTTTGAGGGCTCTCCACGCAGCACCGAGCAGCTGGCGCCGCCTCGAGCTGCGCCCTCGGCCGCACCGCCGGTGCGCGCAGGAGCGCCGGCCGCCAGCGCCACCAACGCCAACTTTCTCAAGCCAGGCGGCGGCTCGAAGCTGCTGTTCAACGAGGCGGCGCGGCAGCAGCTGGCGCCGTATGCAGGTGCCGCCGGCACCACCGTCCACTTCACGTTCGGCTCCTCCGTCATGGTCGACTTTGTGCAGAACTGGCTCCACTTTGCGCGCCGAGCCGCGCTCAAGCCGCTGCTCGTGGGCGCCGCGGACGCGGCTCTCCTCAGCTTTTGCAACAACAAGTCGGTGCCGGCCGCCGCCATCTCCCCCGACCTGGACGTCTGGACATACGAGCGGAAGCCCGCGCAGGAGGGCGTGTACCAGATCAAGACGCAGTGGGCTTACTTTCGCCACCACGACTCGGACTTTCTCGAGATGGGCCTCGTCAAGGTTGCCTTCTTGTGGGAGCTGCTGGTCGCTGGCCTGAACGTGCTCATCTCCGACTTGGACGTCGTGTGGCTCAACGGGCACTGGGCGCGCTGGATGGCCTACGGCGGCGCCGAGCCTCCTCTTCCCGAGGCGTCGCTGCTGGCCGCCGCAGACATCCTCGTCTCGACCGACGAGCTCAACGCCGAGGCGGACCTGGCGGGCCGGCGGCCGAGCCACGGCTCCGACCTCAACACGGGCGTCGTCTTCCTTCGCTGCACGCAGGGCTCAAAGGCGATGGTGCAGGCGTGGCGGCAGGCGATGCTGGGCAGGAAGGGAGACAAGCACCTCAATGAGAATGTCAACGACCAGTCGCTCTTCCAAGGCGTCGTCCGTGGCGCGGAGCTGCGCGGCGGCGAGCTCGACGAGCTGCTGCGGCGCAGCGGTGCCGTGGACAGGCTTGGGCTCGCCGAGGCGACGTCGACGCGAAGAGTCTACCGCGCGCTGGGGGGGCCGCCGTGCTTGCCGCAGGAGCGCTGCGCGCCCTCCTCCTTCACCTTTGGCACGCTGCCGATGCGTCCCTTCAGCGGTGGCCACACCTGGTTCAACCAGAACGTGCAGGACATGGCCGGGCACGAGCAGCCTCGCAACGAGCCCATCACCGTCCACTTCACCTTCCAGTTCGGCGACACCGGCACCTACCCGCACGGCAAGCGGCAGCGAGCGCGCGAGGCCGCGCTCTGGGCCGTCGACCCGCCTGAGTACTTCACGGAGGGGGTCTTTGTCGCCCTCGACGGCCCAACCTACTCGGAGGCGGAGCAGGCGGCCGTCTACGCTCGCTTCCCGTCGTGGTCGCCGCAGAGGCACATGCACATGGACGCGCCGCAGAGGCAGGCCGTGCGCGACCTGCTCGGACTCGCCACCGCCGTCGGCGGCATCCCCGTGCTCCCCTCTCTGTGGTGCCACTGCGACCGGTATTGGGGCTTCTTGAAGAACTGCCGCTTCCCGATGGTGCCGAACATGAATTTGCCTTTCAACTGCCCCCAGGACGCGCTCTACGACCCGACTCGGTGGGCGGCCAAGGGAGTGCGCTGGTGCGCTCGAGCCCGCCCCGGGCCTCGCGGCAGAGGCACTCTCTCACACGAAAACACAACCCCGGGCCCGAAATCGCACAGAGACAGTCACGCAACACGGGGTCCCAGGGAAGGCGAGCAAAACACTCTCTCACCCACCACGCCGAGCGAACAGGCGCGAGCACACCTTCCTCGACAACCCCAACGTGCCTGCCCTCTTGCGAACGCAAACCGTCACCGTCACGGTCGCGGCGCCCGGCGAGGTGCCGGCGGCGGCCGCCCCCGACCAAATCTCGCTGGCGTACGGCACGCCGATGAGCGAGGTAATGGCGGCGGTGAGACAGGCGCGGCCCGGCGTTCGCGTCATTCGAATCGCCAACCACCACTTGCGCCGCCTCTGCCGCTGGCTAGGCTCGTCGCAGGCCAACGCGAACTTCAACAAGCTGGCGCGGTACATCTTGACGGAGAGCTCGAGATACTGTCCGCAGGAGGATATGGGCGGCTATGGCGGTGGCAGCTTCGATTGGCAAAATCCGTTCGTCGCGTATAACTGCACGTGGGGGTTTCACTATCCTTCGCCCTTCCCGGAAGGCAAGGCCGCATGTAGCGCGACGGGCGAGCAGCGTGAGCGCTCCTCCTCGGCCGGTGGTCTGCTCTCGTCGCTATTGCCGCCGGTGAACGCCGCCGGTGAGCCGCTGGCGGGTGCCGACGGCGTCAATGTCGCGGAGCGTCCCAACTCGACCACGTGCCCGCGCATCATGCTGTGCGACTACAACATCCTCCCAGACGGCTCGATGACGAAGCCCATCCGATGGTGCAACATTGAGGGGTACAACGGCATGAAGCAGGACCACCTGCCTGCCACGCGCGCGATGCTCGCCAAGATGCCAGATGGCCGCTGCCCTTACCCTCCCGGCGACATCCCCGGCATGCCAGGCTTCGACCGGAGAGGTCACTACATAGGTGCCTAATAGCAATCATGAAGTACATGTATGTCAAGAGAGGAGAGGAGAGGTGTGTAGGTATTATAGGTTTATTTAAAGTTACGCAAAATTCCGACACGACACAGGTTTGGCAAGATCCAAGAAAAGGTTGCAGCCTGAGAATACACAAACATTTTGTTCTCCCGCGCTCGATCGATCGCTCTTCGCTGCAAGAGCGTCCGCGAAGCGCGCAGCTAGAGCCCGGGGGGTGGGCGTCGCGCGTCGCGTGGAGAAGTACGTACTTTTAGCTAAGGGGGGAAAGGGAAGAGGGGGTATTCTCTAGGCCCCTAAACGCCCTACCCCGAAGTACACTACGACGCTCACGCATGAAGTCATTAGGGACGGTCGGGTCGGTCCGTGCGCAGCGCAGTTATGAGCTCGGCCGATTTCAGGTCGCTCTCGCAGTACAATGAGCCTCTGATCCGATCGCCATCGATCTATTCGTCGATCGGCTCTGGCATCTACCTCCCTCAGGGCACGCCCTTGCACGGCGGCGTCTTCGTTCTTGCAAACACCATCCTTGGCGCGGGAATGCTTGGGCTGCCTTTCGCGTTTGCTGCGTGTGGCTACCTCATGGGCACGCTCATGCTCACCGGCTTCGGAGCGTGTGCGACCGGGGCACTCGTGATGCTGTCCGAGGCGGCCGACCACGTCGGTCGGCCAGCCTCGTTCAACTCGGTCGCAGAGCTTGCCATCCCTGGCGCTGGCATCGCGTTTGATGCTGCAATCGCAATCAAATGCTTCGGCGTCGCCACGTCGTACCTCATTGTAGTGGGCGACTCGATACCAAAAGCCGCCGTTCATCTTGGTGCGAGCGGCATCCTCCTGGAGCGCCGTTTCTGGACGTTGGCCGCCCTGGCGGTCGCCGCGCCACTAGCCTACATGCCTAGGATCACGGTGAGGGCTACCTGAGAGGAGGTCCACCACGGACGAGATTGAGTGAGCCTGTGTGACCGTAGGCGCTACGTCACGTGTCGGCGGTGGCGCTGGCCTGCGTGGGTCTGATCACCGTGATGATCGTCGTCTTTGCCTTCTCCCCGAGTTCTGACTTTGACCCCTATTCCGAGTGCGAGAGCATCGAGCAGTGCAAGGGGCCAACGGCACTGGTCACGAACCCGAGCCAGACCCTGCATGCGCTGCCACTGTTTGTTTTCTCGTACACGTGCCACCAGAACATCTTCTCCATCACGAACGAGCTGAGCGATCCAACCCCGCAGCGCAACATCAAGGTCTGCGTCCTGGCGGTTGGCGCAGCGTTGGCGGTCTACATCATCCTTGGCGCGTCGGGCTACTCGACCTTTGGCGGCCTCGTGGACCACGACATCCTCGCATCGTACCCTTCGGACAACGGCATTGTTGCCGTCGCCCGTCTAGCGATCTCGCTCGTGGTGTCGTGCTGCTACCCCCTGCAAGCCCACCCGTCGAGGGCGTGCACCACGTCGATCGTCAGGGCGTGCGGCGGCGAGGACATCGACGACTTCGTCCTGCACATGGCAATCACAACGGTGTTTGTGCTCGCCTCGGGCTCAATCGCCCTCGTCGTGACGGACCTCGGGCTCATCCTCTCAGTGGTGGGTGCCACCGGGTCCACCACCGTCTCCTACATCCTTCCCGGAGCGTGCTACTTCATCCTCTTCCCCGAGCGACCATCGCGCTGGCTCGGCTTTCTCCTTGCGTGCACTGGGCTAATCATCATGCCCCTTTCCCTGTGTCTCATCTTCTGGAAGTAAGGGGTGCGTCGTCTCGGAAACTGAATAATATCGTGTTGATACAGTGTGTGTGCGCGCGCTGCCGGCGTTAACGCCGCTCCAGAGAGTGGTCCCTCCCGCAGCGCTCCTCTGAAGACTTGGACCATGGCCTGGCCCTGGAGAGACCTATGCTCTGGAGTCATCTCGCTCTTGATGTCCGAGCCTGTAGTGTGGCTGTGCACACGAGAGATGGAGCTGAGAATGAGGGGCTAGGCGTCCGAGCGATATTGTTTTTCACGGCTGCGCTCGTTCGTCTCGCTGCACAAAACGAACTCTACGTCACAAAATATGCACGCCCGCAAACCTGCCGCTGCGGGCCCACATATGTCAGTATGCGATAGGGTCGATTCCGCGTGGTACGGGACCCCTCGATCGTCTCGCCCTCCCTCGCTGGTGTGTTCACCAGGGGGGGGGTCATAACAAAGTTTGTATCAACTCTCCGGTGTTTCTCTCTCTCTCTTCACTTTTGACGCTCCTCTCACTCGCGTGTCTCGTGTCCCGTCCCCCGCGGTGTGCACACACACCTCCATCGTCAGTTCAAACAAGCCGGCGTGGGGAGGTGTTGTGGTTGGGATGGGTAGCGCCTGTGGAACAGCCGCTCCGCAGCGGCGACTCGCTCGGCGCACCTCGTTCGATCGCGGGCCCCGTCCCAGAAGGAGGTGCCGACTCCACGATCGGTGGCCGGGTCGTACTCTCGGCCCCCGCTGCGCTGCAATGCTCGGTAGTCTCCGATGCCCGCGAGCTCATCCAGAGTGATGTGGCCGACCAGCTTCAGCTCCCAAGTGCAAGTGGGAGAGCCGTCGGGCGCTCGGCAGCGCCCACCGGGCTCCGCCGCGCGGCACGCCTCGGTCTCGTCGCGGAACTCTCTCGAAGGGCAGGGCCCCGGGACCGAGTACCAGACCGCGCCCTCGTAGGCGTGGATGCTCCCTGCCCCCTGCGTCTGGCAGCCGACAAAGTAGCCAGAGCTGGCCCAGCGCGAGGCGCACGCGGGGACGGTGCAGCGACCGCTGTCGAAGGCGGCGAAGACGTGCTGCTTGGCGAAGCAAGTCGGGCCGGGGTTGCGCACGAGCACAGAGAAGCGAAGGATGCGGTCGATCGACCAGAGCCTGTTGCCCGGGTGGTTCATCGGCACGATCTCAGTATGGAGGTACTTGAGCACGCCCGGAAGGGTCCCCAGGTTCATCGAGCCCCACTCGAAGGTGACGCGACTTTGGGCGCGATACATGTAGAAATGGCACGCGCCCTCGTTCATCACGGAGGGGTCGAAGCGCCAGCTTACTTGGCCGAAGACTAGTTCAGGCGGTGGAGGTGATGGGTGAGGCGGTGGCGGCGGCGGCGGCGGCGGCGGCGGCGGTCGTTGCGGCGGAGGGGACGAGGGCGAAGGCGGCGGGGCGGGCGCCGGCGGCGGTGCCGGTGGAGCAGGCGGCGCAAGCGGCGAGGGTGAAAAGGGAGGCGTTGGAGGCGGCGGCGGCGCAGCCGGCGGCCCTGGCGGGCGGTGCGGCGGCAGCGGCGGCGGCAGCGGCGGGAGCAGCGCGTGCCACACGCGATCTGCGAGCGGAAGGGTCGGGTTCAGCCAGCTCGAGGCGGTGGCCGCCATCGCGCCGGCGGCCAGCAGCAGAACGGGCAGCAGGGATAGCGTGAGACAGCAGATCCAGGAGCGGCCAGATCCGTGCGTCATCAGCCGGAGGTCGCCTTCCTGCTCCTGGTCCTCGCTTACTACGGCCCTCGTCGCCCGGCTCTCGCCCCGGCTCGCGCGCTTCCTCCTGCCTCCAGCGCTGCTTGCCGCCGCCCTCGCCTCGAGGTCGGGCTCCTTCATGCGCGGAGCTGCTCGGGTGCTCGCTGCCTTTGACCGGGTCCTGTCCCTCCGCTTCGTGCGAGACGAGGGAGTCACGACGGCGATGGATGTGCACAAGTCGTCGAAGTCGTCAAAGTCGAGGCTCCTCGTACCGACCACGCCAACAGCGGTTGCCATTTAGCCGAGAGGCTGAGCAACTCAGCGGTCAACGACACGCGCGCTCTCCACGGCGTCTTTTGAACGAGAAAAATTGGAGCCGCTTTTGTCTTTCTTTCTTTCTTTCGTGACCTTGGTTCCCCTCTAGAGAAAACCAGAGCGCAACAGGCCAACAGCACCCGCGACCCCGGGTCCCGCGGCACGTCTTCACCAGGTCTTCACGTTAGACTCTATTGCTTTTGGCAACCAACCCAACAACAAATGCCTCTAGACGAGTATACAGCTTGTGAGCTTGATTGAGCACACGTGCGATGAGCACTGGATAGGGTCGATTCCGCATGATACGGGACCCCTCGATCGTCTCGCCCTCCCTCACTGGTGTGTTGATTGGGGGGGGCGGGGGGGGGGGCATAACAAACACGGTACAGGGTCGAGGTGCACGCTGCCGAAGCAGTGTCGTCCCCCCTCTCCTCGACGGTGATGGCGGTGTGACCGATCGAGCTACAAGAGGAGCTTGTTCAGCAGGATCCGGGCCGTCGGATGTGTAATGTGTGCATGATTCTTGATTGTGGAAAAAGAAGTAGGCAAACTCTGAAAGGCGAAACCGAGGAAATCGGCAAAATGCCGGGGGTTTTCCAGGTATATTCCAAAATACGTGCGTATCTGTTGATGATCGAGACTCCTCTCGAGAGGACGCACAAACACGCTCTCACCCGGCGTGCGCGAGGATGCTAAGCGTCCCAGTCCTCGTCGGACGACTCGTCCGAGTCGCCAGCGAGCGCCGCGCGCCGCGCGAGGATCGCGGCAACCTACTCGCGCCCCACGCGGTGAGGGACCCGGGCGGGAGAGGCTGAGAGGTGGGGCGGTGGCGGCGCGGGCGGGGACGCACCGACACGCCCCCAAAGCCAACGCCCGCCGCCGCGGCCGCCGCCGGGGGCTTGGCACGCTGCTCTGACGTCACCTTGCGCAAATGCACGGCGCCACCGCGGATGGCCGCCATGAGGTCTGAGCGCGCCTGCGAGGGGGGCGGGCGGGCGGGGCAAGCGTCCGTGAGCGCCAAGCTCGCGGACGTCGCAGCCGCTCAGGCGGCCGCACGTCGGTGCCGCCCGAGGCCGGCGCCTCCCGCTCCGGCCGCTCCGCAGCCTTCCGCAGCGTCGTGCCGCCGCGAATGGCCGCGAAGAGCGCATCGGCTCCAGAGGCAGCCGGCGGCGGCGGCGCGGCGGCCGCGGCCGCGGCCGGCCGCAGCTTTGCGCCGCCCCGAATGGCCGAGAAGAGCGCGTCGGCGCCCGCAGCTTGCGGAGGCGGAGGCGGCGGCGGCGGCGGCGGCGGCGGCGCTCCCGGCGCAACTGGCGGCGGCGGCGGCGGCGCGAGCGGCGGCGGCGCGAGCGGCGGCGGCGCGAACGGCGGCGGCGCGGGTGGCGGAGGCGCGGGCGGCGTCGTGGCTGCAACCGGTGCACGTGGAGTTGCGGATGGCGGCGGGGGAGCCCGCGGCGGCGGCGGCGGAGGCCGTGCCGTCCCAGTATGGGCCGGGGGCGGCGGTGGCTTTGGCAGCTGTGCCGGCGGCGGTGGCCTAACAGCATTCATTACAGTGATGCGATCGTGTCGGGAGTGGCGTCTGCGAGACTCCCAGCGGCTGCCTCTTTGAGGCTCCGGGCGGCGGCCTCGCAGGTGGCGGCTGGCTGGGCGGGGGCGGCTTGCTGGGCGGCGGCGGCGGCTCGCCCCCCGACAGGGCTGGAGGGCCTAGGGTTAGGGGTAGGGTTAGGGTTAGGGTTAGGCTCGCCCCCCGACAGGGCTGGAGGGCCTAGGGTTAGGGGTAGGGGTAGGGTTAGGGTTAGGCTCGCCCCCCGACAGGGCTGGAGGGCCTAGGGTTAGGGGTAGGGGTAGGGTTAGGGTTAGGCTCGCCCCCCGACAGGGCTGGAGGGCCTAGGGTTAGGGGTAGGGTTAGGGTTAGGGTTAGGCTCGCCCCCCGACAGGGCTGGAGGGCCTAGGGTTAGGGGTAGGGTTAGGGTTAGGGTTAGGCTCGCCCCCCGACAGGGCTGGAGGGCCTAGGGTTAGGGGTAGGGGTAGGGGTAGGCTCGCCCCCCGACAGGGCTGGAGGGCCTCCGAGCGGCGGCGGCGGCGGCTGCTGCGGCGGCGGCGCTGCGCCTCCGCGCGAGAAGGAAGCCGCGCCCGCGGCCGGCAAGCCCATCTGCTCCTCGAAGGTCATGAACTTTTTGCGCTGCACGCGCTTGGCCTTGCGGTCGACGGAAGCAGAGCCGACCTGCGGCGGCCGTCGGGCAAGCTTGACGCGCATGTTGCGTGTGCGTATGCTCGAGGCATCTCTTACGAATCCGATTGTCAGCTGCGGAGGTCGCGCGCGCGTGTGGCCTTGGCACTGGGCGGGCGCGCCTGCGCCGGGCGAGCGCTCCGCCTCGCCGCGCGCCTCGCCTTGCGCTCGTCGAGCAGCCGCCGCCGACGCGCCTGCAGCTCGCGCGCGCGTGTGCGGCGCACATCCTTTCGCAAACCGTTTGTGCGCGCGCGCGGCGGGGAGGGAGCCCGTCCGCCCTCAGCCGCTCTCGACGGGTGTCCGGCCGACAGTGCGGGCGCGAGGAGGCGGGGCGGGCGCAGGTGGAGGGGTTTGGCTGTGCGCCCCACGCCTCCTCCTCGGCAATCCACTGCTTGTGGAAAAAGTGCGGGTCCGAGAAGCCGTCGGCGCAAGACGGAGATATGCCGCACGCCGCGTAGATCTCGCGCAAGTGCACGTCCTCCTCTGCCGGCGGCGGCGCCAGCGCGTCGAGCCGCTGCAGCGCCGGCGGGGGCCGTGCCCGCTCCAAGGCGGCCACGACCCAAGGAGGCCTCGACGCCGCAGAGAAGAGGTGGCCGCTGCCTTCGGCGGGCGCGGCTCGGTAGTCGAGGCCGGTGCCCGCGTCGCACAGCTCCGTCGTCTCCTCGGGCGGCGCCGCAGACAGCGCGTCGTCCACCTACAGCTGGGCGCCCTTTCTGCATCCCGCACCACCTTTTGCATCCCGGAGAGGGGGCGGCGCGGGGGGGAGGTGCGGAGTCGCGCCTGCGCCAGCCGCTCGGTCACCCCGACGAGGCGGCCTCGGAGCGTGCCGAGCTGCTCGGAGCTCCGCGCCACCTGGCAGGTGGTTGAGCGGGTGAGCGATTGTCTGCGCGTGAATGACTGACTGCGGACGACTCGCCACCTCTTCTCCGAGAGAGTCGAATAGGTCCGCCGCGACCGTGGAGAGCTGGCCGAGCTGCGATGGGAGGCGGCACGGGTGCGTGTGTGAGATTCGGTCCGGATCCGCAGAGGCAGCGGCAAGGCGGCCGGCCTGGTTGAGCAGGCCAACCATAGTCGCCATGGAGACGTCGCCCAGAAGCTCCTCTGGCGGCGAGCGGCGAAACAGGGCGTTGGCCCCAGGTGACGACAACGGGTCATTCAGGCTGATGGACATGTAGGCGCTTGGGCGGCCCTCGCTCGCTTGACAGCCTTGCGCGACTTTTCCCTACCGAGAGCGGCTCGCCGACAAAATCGTGAAAAAACCATTCACAGCCTTGTTATTGAGAAGAAAATACGTCCGTGGCGCTGTGCGCTGGTCTGTGAGAGTTCACACAAACACACAACCCCGGACCCAAGACGCACAAGCAAGCACAGACAGTCGAGAAGGGAGAGACAGCAACGACAGTCAGAAGCCAGCGCTGGGTACCAGGAAGGCGAATGCGATGACGGCCTCTATTGTGAGCTCTAGCTAAATTTTTAGCAATACCTTAAAGAGAGGTTAGGGTAAGGTCCGTTAGCGGGAGATCGGCGGGAGCGGCGCACGTTTCGAATTCGGCGGGCGTTTCGAATTTGTCGACGGACCGTTTCAGGTCTCTCTCTGCGCTCCCGTATGAGCGAGGCTGCCGACGCTGCCATGATTGACAATACCAAACAACTCTAACACTCACACGTCATTTGGGGCCTGGAGCCCCTGCACAATGATGTTTATGGTGCCCTGTTCACGCGCGCGCGAGACGTGCAGACAGGGTTGCCAGGTGAGAGCGAATGGCGCGGCGGTTCACGCCTCGCACAACAGAGAGAGAGATGCGCTCTGCATGGTGGGACATAAAAGAGAGCGAGTACTTGGGCGAGTAGGCCGTGCGGTCAACGCTGCCGCGCGCGACTTTGCGCGCGAGGCGGCGCAGCTTGAGAACGGCGGTGGGCGAGAAGCCGCCGCCGAACGTCTCGTGGAGCAGCAGGTCAATACCAAACAACTCTAACACTCACACGTCATTTGGGGCCTGGAGCCCTGTTCACGCGCGCGCGAGACGTGTTGTTTTGCTAATTAGTGAGCTCGATTCACACAACAAATTGGAAGTTGGCAGGGACTGGCGCGCGTCCTCCCATCCCTCCCTTGGGTTGTGTGTTTTCTTTCTTTTTTTTGGCGCGCACTGGCACTAACACAGGTACACCACGCAAAAAGAATTCTGCGTTGGGACTGACTGGCACTACATATACTCGTAACACAAAAACAACACTAACCCTAGCGTCGACCGCACGGCCTACTCGCCCAAGTACTCGCTCTCTTTCATGTCCCACCATGCAGAGCGCATCTCTCTCTCTGTTGTGCGAGGCGTGAACCGCGCCATTCGCTCTCACCTGGCAACCCTGTCTGCACGTCTCGCGCGCGCGTGAACAGGGCACTCTTCCGTTGAAAATCTGTTTTCCACCAACCTTTAATCCAGGGCTCCAGGCCCCAAATGACGTGTGAGTGTTAGAGTTGTTTGGTATTGTTAAAAATCTCTCTCTGTAACACAGGCTTTAAGAATTTTTACTGACTGGCGCTTACTGCCACTGGCACTAACACACAGGCTTGCAAGAAGAATTTTAGGCAGTGCTGATGTGCTGTGTACTGCGCAGTCACACACACACACACACACACACACACACACACACACACACACACACACACACACACACACACACACACACACACACACACACACACACACACACACACACACACACCTTCTTCTTCTTGGTGTGCCGATGTGTGTGCTAGTGTGCGCCAGTCCACGACCTTGTCGTTTCTTTTACGCAGTGCGCGCCAGTCCCGTGCCCAGTGTTGTGCGAGGGAGCTTTGTTGTAAAATTCTTCTAGCACGCGCCAGTTCGCACCTGTGTCGAGCCTGTGTGCTGTGAGAGAGAGTTCGATTGTTTAAATTCTTTTACGCGGAGTTGCGTTGTTCAATAAGCGCCGCCGCGGAAGCGACGGCGTGACTGTCGGCGGTGCGTGTCCCACGGTCTCGTCGCAGATAGCCGCGCAGCGGCTATGTAGGTTATCCGACAACGCGAGGAGAGGAACCGACAAACTCAACCCACCGTGAGGGGGGAACCGTGACTCAATCGTCACCAAACTAACGTTCCGCGCGCGCGCGCTGAAACGAGCGTTTGTCGGACCCTCGCGCTTCTAGGCGCCCGAGTCATGTTCGCGTCAGACGTGTTGTAATGTGTGTGTGTGTGTGTGTGTGAGCGCGTCGGGCCTCTTATTTGGGCGCCGACGCTCGGGGTCGTCTGGCAACGGCACCGGGAGCTCGAGACGCAGCTCTCGGGGCCAGCCAACCCAGGAGTCGATTTTAGGACCAATCTCAATAACAATCTATATCAGCATGAACAACGGGGACTCGGACGCGATGGATAAAGCACGCGAGCCGCGACAGCCGACACGCTGTTCTTTCTCGCGATCGTTTTTCAGCGACAGCCGATAGGTTTTTCTCGGAGAGGTACTGATCATCAAGCGGAGATCCAACCATCATGGCACCCTCATCCGGCAAACATCCCCCTCACAGAGTACAGAGAATGCCTCGCACCAAGTACACGGAATGCCACCTGGGGAAGGTAGCGAGCGCCCCGGGCGTCACCAGAGCAGGATTGAGAACCCGCGCGGCCGCGACAGCGGGCCCGCCGACCAGCTGCTTGAGTCCTCCTCCTCCTCCGCCTCGGCGCGGCCCGAGCGCCGCACGATGTAGTGCGCCAGATAGCCGCCGATCGGGAGGCCCACGACGAAGCCGATGAAGCCGGCCGTCGTGACGAACGGCACGAGGATGGCGGGCACGGGGTCGACGAGCAGCACGATGATGCCCGTGAGGCCGGCGGCCACGGCGGAGCAAAAGGCCAGCGTGAGTGTGAACGCGAGGAAGGCCAGGATGACCCTGCGGCCCGTGGCGCCGCGGGGCGTCGGCGGCGTCGTGGCGTCGGGCCTCGTCGCCAGCAGCTTGAAGAGAGCGTAGTAGGAGCGCTTGGGCAGGCTCACCAGCACCTCGATGAGCAAGCCGGCCGCGAGCAGGAAGACAAGCAGGCGGATAGCGGCGAGCTTGAGCACAGAGTCGACGCCGACCATGTAGTGCAAGCACCACGTCGCGCGCCAGAGGATGGCGAAGATGCCCAGGATGGCGCAGATCATCGGGCCCTGCGCTCCGGTGGCGAGAGAGACGTAGGCGAGGAGGAACGGGCCGATCCCGACAAAGACAGCCCACCGCCACGGGTCGTCATTGTACGGGCAGCCGGTCGCGGCGAGCGCGCCGACGAGCTGCACAGAGGCGGCGGTGGCGAGCAGCAGCCTGTAGGAGCGTGGCAAGTGTCCGCCCGCCAAGGGCTGCTGCGTCGTGCGCGAGTGGCGGCGGATCTGGAGGAGCGACACCGCCGTCATGGCGAGCGTCGTCATCACCGCCGAGCAGAGCACGACGTAGACGGTCTGCGCGCGAGACCGCCAGATGCAAGGGTGCCACAAGGAGAGCCAGACCGCCGCGTCGCCGCCCTCGGCGGACACGCCGCCGGGACAGAACTCCTTGTGGTAGTCGTCGCACGGCACCACGCACACGAGCAGCCGCTGCCCCGCCACGCCGCGAGGGTGCCGGATGCGCAGCCGCGAGCTCCCCACCTGCTCGATGTGCCCAAGGGAGGCGGGCGCGTCCGCCGCACCCGGTGCCGCCTCCTCGGCCGCGAGTCTCCTCGCGCCCGAAGCCGCACCCGCCGCAGCAGCCGTCTGGTCGAGGTACTCGCGCGGCTCCAGCTTCGACACGAGAACGGCAAACCCGTCCGGAAAGTGGAGCGGGGCGGCGAGGTGGACCTCGGTGGTGCGCCCCTCGTCCGAGTCGGCGTCGGCCGCCTCGTACTCGAGGACCATCACTCGCCACCCGGCGCTCCACACCATGAGCAGCGGCCGCCCTGCGACGGCCTGCGCGAACGGCGTGGCGATGACGCGCAGCTTCTCCTCGGCGAGGAGCCCGTCCTTCGGGTAGAGGGAGAAGCCGCCGCCGGACGACGTGTGGTCCTCGAAGTTCTTGTACTGCCAATAGAAGCGCGAGACCAGAAACTCGTCGGCGACGGTGCCGGCGCGCGCAATCTCCGCGAGGCAGGCCGAGCCGTGCCGGTCCGCGCAGTCGGCGCCGGTCGATCCGAGCGAGCCGTACTCGGAGAGCAGCGAGCCGCTGCGCTGCTGCTTGGCCGAGAAGTCCTGCACCGCGAAGAGGTGGCGGTGGTAGATCGCGCACAAGAAGGAGAGGTGCGGAGTCACGTTCGGCGCCCACCAGCAGTACGAGTGCCACGAGAAGGCCTCGCGCGACTCGTCCGGCTCGTCCGGCTCGAGCCGCTCGCCCAAGAAGCCAGACGACCACACGTCCCACATGACCGGCTCGTACGCCACGATGTGCCGCTTATTGACGGCGCGGATGGCGGCGACCACGTGCCGGTAAAAGGGCAGCAGCAGGTCCCTTTCGGCGGCGGGCGAGTTGAACCACCAAGACATGAAGAGGGAGTAGTTACCGGGGTCATTGGTGTCGCCGGGCCACGGCTCGTTCATGAGCTCGAGCGCGAGCACCGCCGGCTCGTCCGCCAGCGCCTCGGCGACGTGGGCCCAGTGCTCCTCGAAGGCGCGTCGGACGCCGCCGCCGTCCGTGTACAGCGCCTGCGCCGTCTTCGTCTGCGAGTTTGTGCTGTAGTACTCGAAAAAGTCGCGGTTCGTGCACTCCTTCAGCTGCGGGTACAGCCCCGCAGCGTCGAGCAACTTGAAAACCTCGGTCGAAGTCTGGGCATCTCCAGCCAGCTCGACGGCGCACCAGTCGCCCCTCTGCCACGCAACGGAGCCGCCAATTCTGCGGATCGCCGGGGGGGTCGGAGGCGTCGGCGAAGGGGGCGATGGCAGAGGCGTTGGCGACGGCAGCGGCGGCGACGGCAGCGGCGGCGACGGCAGCGGCGGCGACGGCAGCGGCGGCGACGGCAGCGGCGGCGACGGCAGCGGCGGCGACGGCAGCGGCGGCGCCGGCAGCGGCGGCGACGGCAGCGGCGGCGACGGCAGCGGCGGCGACGGCAGCGGCACGGGCAGGGGTGCCGCCGCCACGCAGCAGTGATACCCGTCGCAAGCGACTCGCGGGCAGCCTGCCGCCTCATAGTCCGTCATGCAGCAAGCCTGGCCGGGGCCGCAATAGTCATCGCACGGCCCCGCCGCGCCGCCACACCCGTCCCAGCAGTTTGCAGGCTCGCTGGGCGATGTCGCCGGCGGAGGAGGCGGCACCGGAGACGGGAACGGCGGGACAGCGAGAGGCGCTGGTGGTGGCGCAGGCAACGGTGAAGGTGCCGCCGGGACGCAGCAGTGATACCCGTCGCAAGCGACTCGCGGGCAGCCTGCCGCCTCATAGTCCGTCTTGCAGCAAGCCTGGCCGGGGCCGCAATAGTCATCGCACGGCCCCGCCGCGCCGCCACACCCGTCCCAGCAGTTTGCAGGCTCGCTGGGGGGCGGTGATGGCGGAGGAGGCGGCACCGGAGACGGCGGCGACTCCGGAGAAGGGGGCATGGGCGGTGGCGGAGGCAGAGGCTCCGGTCTAGCCGGCGGCTCTGGTGCAGGAACGCAGCAGTGATACCCGTCGCAAGCGACTCGCGGGCAGCCAGCCGCCTCGTAGTCCGTCTTGCAGCAAGCCTGGCCGGGGCCGCAATAGTCATCGCACGGCCCCGCCACGCCGCCACACCCGTCCCAGCAGTTTGCAGGCTCGCTGGGGGGCGGTGATGGCGGCTCGGCGCTGCCGTCTCCCCACGGGTTCCAGCCACGACGGGAGTTGACTTCCTCGGTCCCGATGTCAAAGAATGCCGCCGGCTCCAGACCCAGGAGTGGAGAGGGGAAATCGCCAAAGGGCGGCGGCTGGCTGGTGTTGCGCAGCGCGTCGTCGACGGCCCAGTCGGGCATACCTGCGAGGAGTGGCGCATCGGTCGCACAGGCGGGGCGCGCGAGGCAAACAGTGTGACCCAGCCGCAGGCGGAGCGAGCGCGCCGTTGCCACAAAAGCGGCGCGAGAGCACGTCCGAGTGGAAGTCGATGACAACGTGAATGCCTGGACGAGCGGGCAGCGGCGTAAGGTCTTGTCAGTACGAGCCGATTGAGCACACGAAAAAACGCGGCGGCGGGAGGCGGGCACCATGCTCCTCGCACACCGTCACAATCTCCTGCACCCTCTTGATGTAGCCCGGGTCCGCTACGCCGCGCCGCGCCGGAAAGGTTCCCGCCCAGAGGACGCCTATCGTTGGGAGCAACGCTTCGCTTGGCGTCGGCCGGGCCATGGCGAAGCCGCGCGCGCTGCTGCCGGCACCCAAGCGGATCGCGTTGAACCCCCACGCCGACAGGTTGGCGGCATCGGCCTCGCCGAACGACGTCTCCGCGTCCCATTCGCCCGCGTCGGGAAGGTGCGGCGCCGTCTTGAAGACCACGTTGAGCCCGTGAAAGAGCCGCACACGGCCATCCTCATCAACAAAGTGCGCCGTCGCGGGGTCCGAGCGGATCCACTGCGCCTTTCGGGACGCCTAGGGAACGATGCGACGGTGACGGAGGCTCGCCCTTTTGCATCCACCCCAGCGTGATCCCGCGCCGGCGGGGTGCCAGTGACCACAGCCTTTGGCCGCAGGGCGTACGAGTCGAAGGCAAAGAGGTAGAGGAGCGGAGCGCCCAAGCCGGCGCCGGCGGCGAGGATCAATGCAACGCAGACGTGACCCGTCCGCAGCGTGTTTGACGACGAGGCGGGCGCTGTCTCGGCGGCCCCAGGAGTGGTGAACATAGCGACCCGGCGCCTTTGCGTCGGCACACGACTCCGGCGCGAGACGTGGCGATGTGGCAGCAGCGTTCGCCGTCCTCGGTCCGGCTCCAGCGGCGGCTAGAAGCGGCAAGGCGAGACCTCGCTGCTACTCGAGTACCGAGTACAGTTCAGACTCTGCTCGTTCTCAGGGAGGGGCATAGTCCCGTTCACACCCTCACTTAGGCATGAGCGCCCGAAACTTGAACGGCGGGCGCTTGACGAATCCGAGGGGGGGACGGGGGCAGCAACGGCTGCGGCCCCGAGAGTCGAATTGGCAACTCATAGTTCGAACTGGCGACTCATAATGAAACTTGCCGAAATCGCCCTGTGGGGGCGGCAGCGGCGACCGCCCCGGGGGCGGCAGCGGTGACCGCCCCGGGGAATATGTTTAGCGACTCCCACCCCCAAGGAAGTTCTGATAGACATGTCCAGGACTCTGTGGCTGAAGTAGCGTGTGCGTCGAAGCCACAAGAGGGCTGGCTACGTCAGAGAGTTAGGGGGGGGGGGTTCGCGTATTTTGTTTTCTTAATAGTTCTGGGAGCAAACGATTCCACAGCGTACTGGTCGTGAAGAGGCGCGATGGAAATCGTGGGACGCGAGCTGAGCGGCGGCCGGGTGTCAAAGGTCGCGCGCACAGAGGCATCCCCCCCAGGGCCGCCGGACGGGTCGGTCCCGGCGCTGTTCACAGCGCCGACATCCGTTCACACCCCAAGGGACATCATCAAAGGAGGGGGCATGGCCATGGCCATCTCTCCCTCCTCCTGCCCGCAATCGGCCCGCGGCGCGTGCAAGCCGCAGGGCCCCCACTCCGCGCAGTGTGGTAGCGGCGGGCATAGTCCCAAGGCGGTTCCCGCTGTCGTCAAGGCGGGCTCCGCACCCCCATCTGTCTGCCCTTGGCAAGTCAAGGTGTCTCGGGGCGAGGCGCCTATTGGGGAACCGATCGGCTTTGTGCCAAATGGCACGTTAGAGCTGATCGCGCGGCTTCGGCACCCTCACCCCAACGTGAGGAAGGAGACCGAGGCCGCGCCCTTTGCACTCGAGGCAGTTCACGGCTTGTATTGCCACACCTGCCCAGATGCGTGCCACGGCCCACTGTTCTCGTGCGAGTTCGCAAACTGCAAGTCGGCCATGTGGGCGCTATGCGCCTCATTCATCCGGCTGCTCATCAACGAGCTTGTGAGCCGCGGCGACCCGTGCCGAGAATGCACGTGGGAGGAACTCAACGACATCATCCGAGCCATCAACCCGCGCGACTGCGGATGGACGCCACTTCGGACGGGCGCGTTTGACCCGATGTCGGAAAAAATCGCCTACCTCGCCATGAGCGACGTGGCAAACACGCTGCTATCGCGCGCGGCTTCGCCCTTCTTCCTGGTAGGCGACCTCACGATTGGTCTCCACCTTGTGCTCGACGTCCTCGATGCAAAAACGCTCGACCCCGAGAACTGGACGAGTTCGATCCGCTGGGACGTGGTTAAGTCGCTCGTCAACTATGGCGAGGACGAGCCGAAGAGGGCTTACCTGCAGGGACCGCCCGAGGGCGTTGCCCTCAAGCCGCACCATTTCCAGGGCATTGACGATGTCCTCGCCCCCGCCAATTTCAAGGAAATTTCCGAGGATCTCTTCGACCTCGGAACCTTTGCGATGCCGCCCGAAGGGGGGTCGGCGTGTGCGACTACTGGGTCGTCACCGATTGAAGGGGGGCCATCGCATGCAGCCGGGGCCCCCTTGCCCATGTGCATCGCAAATTGCAGCGAGAATTCTACGAAGGATTCGATAATTGGACAAGGGGGTGTTGCACATCGCTCGCATACTGCCGAGAGCACAGTCGCACGCCGCCCCGCTGCCTCTATGACGCCCTTCATGATCCCCTCGCGCTCGTCCTCGACCGGCTCGACTTTCATGACCGGGGCCGACGACGGGTATCGCGGTGCGCGCGAAGCGCCCAAGCTGCGCTGCCCTGCCGCACCTCCGCCCGCTCCGCGTGCCGCACAGCCAGGGGAACCACCAGCCCAGCCGTCTGGCGCTGACCCACGGCTGGCTGGCGCGCTCGCCACTCACGAGGCTGGGCCTGTGCATGGCACAGGTTACCACCCCACGATTGGTGGCAAGCAGCCGACGCACTATCCCGCTGACACGGGTGACGGGCCGGAACTTGCCCAGCCCGCCCTGGGCAAGGAAGCATGCGCTATCATCGACCTCGACATGCTGAACGCACAGCTGAAGGCGGCCATGACGGACCTCTGGCATGAGCTTCTCCGCAAGGGCGCCGAGGCCGAGCGCGCCACCTCCGTCCTGCGGTGCATCAACACCGAGGTGGCGTGCGGAGACGTGACGCTGCTCTTCTCCATCATCCCAATGTGGGGCATCGTGTCGGCCAACGAGGGACCTGGAGATTTCTCGGTCGGCGACTTCTGCATCGACATGCCACACGTCGAGGTCCTTGTCAACACCCTAGTTAACCGCGCCTTTGGCTCCCTCCGCGAGGCAATCCCCCCCGGAGGCAAGATCGTCATTACGGCGGCGGACGGGATCATGCTTCTCGCGACCGAGACCGAGAACCCGGGCTCCATCGACATCACAAAGGGCAACCCGCTCGCGTACATCTGCGCCGAATTCCGCATGTACGTCGCCCTCTACCTGCGCAAGCTCAACTACATGTCCGTCCGCCCGTGCCGCTCCGAGTCCCTCGGCGGCACCGCCCCGGTCGCTCCGACCTTCAAGCAGACCGCGCGCGGCAAGGTTGGGGAGTTCTACTTCCTCAAGATGTGGTCGATGGGGCTCGAGGAGATCATGAACCGGATCCTTGGCGCCAACTCCACTGGCCTGACTCTCCTCTCCCTGCACGCGGTGCGCGAGGCCGCCTCGAGCTCGGGGTGCGCGCCAAACACGTCACCCTGCAGCATAGTACCGCCACCCACGCAGCCCTCACCTACCCTAGGCACTGAGCACGGCCCAGCGGCGCCGCCCAGCGCGGCACCACTCGGGAGAGGCGGCGACGCTACAGCCGCCGCCCCCATTACCCCCGCCAGCAGCGGGGCCAGGGGACAGGCCCGACACCTGACAGGCTCTGACGCCAGCCAGGCAGAAGTCGGGCTTGGGAATATGGTAGGACTACATGTCGCATTACATGACACTGTCGGGTCACTGTGTGACGCAAATCCATGTGGCAGGACGGCACGTGCTTATTTATGCGAAGGAAAGGCGAAAGGGGGAGAAAAACTAGACACGCACGAAATGTGCTGGGACCGCGTTGAGCAGAGCAGCTCAAACGGGCACGAAGTCGGGCTGCAAAACCGACCACTGATCAACGAGGCGCGGCCTGTGATCCCGGTCATGATGACGCGCATGTTAGCTGAGGGGAAATACGGTGGCGCCTCCGACGCGGACCCCGAGTCCGACCATTGCGGCCCCGTTTTCGGGAGCAACGTAACGGACACTTCCGAGGGTGAGACCAGTCCTGACATGAGGGATGTCACGATGGGCGGACGGGAGGGCCCCTATACCGGACCACATGACCACGCCATCGATTTTACACGCGTTTTTCGGCCGATCACACCGCGGCCTGTCGCGCGACGACGCACGGCATACTCGGATCCGTATGCTGGAGATGACCTCGGAGGTAACCAGGGTTTCTCTGGATTCACGCCCATGACCGAGAGACGCGGAGGCAGCGCCCTCGTGACGAGAGAGGCGACACGGGCGAATGCAGAGGAGCAACGGGCGTGCCCAAGACAAGGGCTCCCGTGCGTGTGGCGCGTACTACGACTACCTCTGGCACATCCTGCACAGGGCATGGAATGCGCTGTGCCACGCCCTCTGGGGCAACTCAATGACGCGCTCTGGGCGCACTCGGGGGGACAGGTGGCTGATCTGTTCACGAAGCCGCTGACGGCGGCTATCTTTCACCCCTTGCGCGCCTTCGTTGTGGCATAACATCGCCGAAGGCTACTGACGCCCTGTGCATGCACATGTGCATGCACGCTCCAACGTGGACACACACCCACGTAGCGGACACACACCTTTGGCCCCGCTCTCGGCTCTACCTCTCGGTCTCGGCCGGCGGGCATGAAACGGCTTTTCGGTCAGGCATCAGGGCGAACACACATGACGCACTATGCATCCGGGTGCGTGCCCTCCGCTCATCTTGCGGATCGCATTCGTCTCGCCTCGCCCCCGTCGAGCGCACGGACGCCCATGCTCGTGCGCGCAACGCGACTTGTCTTTTTGCTCGCGCTCGGGGTAGCCGGCGCCCTGATTGCAGACACGGCGCTGCAAGGCTCTGCCGCCATGGACCCGGAGGGCCTCGAGCGGGATTATGCGACACGGTATCGAGTGTGCCGCCATCTCTGCTGCTGCACGCACCATTTCTCACTCCGGTCTCCCCTTTTTGCAGGCTGCATTTGACTCGCCGCCGTCACAACTCCGTCGCTGCCACAGCAAGCTTCCGGACAAATCACGTGACGATGTTCGGGCGAGGGGCGTCTCTGCTACGACAGGCGCCTGAACTCGCAGGGCCATCTCTCCCCCCGCCAGCGCCCTGGCCACCAGATCCGCTGCTATCATTCCGTCTGCTGCCGAAATTCCTTCTTACTTCGCTGCCACCGCCAGGGCCATCATCTGTGTCGCCACCGCCGCCGTCGATACTTCCAAGCGATGTACAGCCAGCTCAGGCGCCAGGGCACCGGCCAGATCGGCCCGTGCCTGAACGACCCTGGCCACGAATGCATGCCAGCCCCGATGGCCCCTCGGAGAGCGAGACCAGCAGCCGGCGGCGCCGGTTGGCACAGCCCGAACCTCCCGAGCCGTCTCCGCCGCCGCCGCCAGCGCCTTGGTCTCCAGATCCGTCACCCCCGCCCCCGCCTCCACTCTCTCCATCACCGTCCCCGCCACCTCCACCTTCGCCGCCGCCGTCGCCCCCTCCGCCACCGCCGCCGCCGCCACCGCCGCCTGCCCTTCATGATATTGCGCTGGTCAACGTCGTCAGAGTCGACGTCCGAGCTCTCACTGGCGCTGCCGCCGTCGTCGCCCACGTCATCACAATCTCTGTCGCTGCGAGCGCTGCTGAAGAGAGAAGAGTGTGAGACGTCAGCAGGATCGCTGGCCGACAGCGCTCGCAAGAGCTCGCGCCGAGAGCGGCAACGGCGGCTCGGGTCGTCGCGCCGATAGGCGTAGTAGTCGCCGACCGCGCTGCTCTTGTTCACCCTCGCAATCCACTGTACATGGCAACGGCCGCTCACGCGCACCGT